CGTGCTAAAAGCATCAGCTGTCGGACGAGAAAACAATGTTGTAAAAGATCTTGTACATTGTGTATTGCTACTTGAGTGAAGACTACATTGGGACCAAGAAACAAATTAAATGCATTACATGCATTCACTGGATAAATATTACCAATTAATTCACTATATAAATATCCGAGATCCTACACAATAAACAACTACACATTATCTCTGGTTATAGGAGCTGCTCAAGTTATGTAGTCATGTAAATCAGGGTGGTCTAACCTTTTGGCTGCTGAGGGCTGGATGACAGATTTCAGACACGCCTGCGGGCCGGATAAGCAATAATGTATCCTGACGAACCATTCCGATTCCTGGGTTGAGCCTCAGCCCCTGGTAACTCTCTGGATTAGCTTGTGATATATATATGGACTTTTTGAAAGCTTTTGATAATACATTACAAAATTACATTTGTATAGTGCCTTTCACATCGGGAGAACGTCCCAAGGTGCTGGACAGTCAGGCCGAGCGGGAGGGAGGTTGGGATCAGGGAGGGTGGAGGGCAGGGAGGGTAACCGAAGGTACGTTTGAAGAGGAGCGCTTTGAGATATGCCTTGAAGGAGGCAAGGAAGGGAGCAAAGTAAAAGGAACATGGGATGAAGTTCCAAAGAGTGGGAGAAGAGAGGCTGAAAGCCCAACCGCCAATGGTGGGGTGGGCACAGCCTGCTGAGCGGAGGAGCGAACAGGTTGAAATGGGGATAGCAGGTCACAGAGGTAGGAAAGAGCAAGGCCGTGGAATGTCTTGAAGGCGAGGACGAAGATTTTAAACTCTATCCTCTGGGGATGGGGAGTCAGTTGAGCCGGGCAAGGGTTGGGGTGATTGGGTCATATACCCTGGTATCGGGAGAGTACACGAGCTGCAGAGTTCTGGATGATCTGCAGCTTGTGGATGGAAGAATTGGGAAAGCAGGGAGTTGGCATAGTCGAGCCTAGATGGGATGAACTGAGGGTTTCGGTGGCCTGAGAGGTGAGGCAGTGGTGGAGCCGGGAGATGTTGCGGAGGAAGGGGGGAGGGCAGAGCGGGTCATGGCACGGATCTGGGGTAGAAAGGACAGTTGAAGGTCAAAAAAGAAGATAAGGTGCCACATAACAGGATTCTTAAAAAGAATAAGATGCATGGTATTAATGGAAAGACAGTCAGTAGCTTGGATAGAAATGGAGTTAAAGTGCTAGTAGATGGTTAGATGGTGAGAAGGTGAGATGGTTGATCAAGTGTTGGTCGTTAGACAGAAAACAAAAAATAGGGCTAAAAGGAAATTTCTCACATTTCTTTTTAAAAGAGAATTCTAATTAACTTAGCTGGAAACCTCACTTTTAAACCCCTCCACCGTCTTGTTCCTCCGTGACCCACTCAAACCTTACCAACCTTCCCGCTCCCTCTGCTGGGTGGGCACTGGCCTGCTCCATGTCCACCACCCTACCTGGCCCATCATCGGCGATTGGGCTTTCAATCTTTCTGCTCCACCCCTGGAACTCCATCACCTTGGCCCATCCCTCAAGGCCGGTCTTAGAACCTTCTTCTTTAATCGTGCCTTTAGTCATCCTCCCACCACTAACCCCCATGTCCTCCACCCCACTTGAATCCCAGCTCCCCAGCTCAGGTGCAGACCTTGACTCTCCAGCACCTTGGGACATCATCCTGACATGAAAGACGCTATTTAAATGCAATTTGTGGTTGTTCTATATGTTTGAACATGGTTAACCCAACCTGCAAATTATACCCAGTATCAGCAAGATTGTATTGTAAGATTGTGATTTGCACCATTTTATCCATCAGGGAAGAATCTAGTTCCTGCCAGGGATTTGAGAGGTTATATGGATGTGTGATGTATTTTGATTTATAAATCTAGCCACTTGAATTTGCAGTCGTGAGCATGTGGTGAGCAATCATTAATGGCAAAGCCTGATTTCCTTTTCAGAGGAAATGGTTCTTATCCTACAAATATGACATCCCCAAAAATATCTGCACTTCAAATACGTCTAATAAATTCATGGCAAGCCTAATAAAGAAAGCTTCTTGAATAATTGGTGAACTCAGAACTACACCTGATCTATCAAAGGGTATGATAAAATGGCTCATTTATTCCTATGTGGAATTGAGAGATGAGGAAACCTGGCAGTATTAATTGAGATTGAATAATATTATCGGTATTAGTACAATAGGGTGAGGGCAACTCAGAACTGAAGAGAGCAAACATGAAGAAACCTCTAAGCAATGCAAATCTTGAAAAAAAATCAAACAGATTTTCATCTTTGTTGATCCTTTTCTTTGCACTTCAGAATATGATGGTAAATGTTGTTGTTGTTTTCGCTGTTAATCTCTTCCCACGCAATTATCATGGAGTCCTGTAGCTCAGTGGTTAGAGCACTTGCCTTGCAAGCGAGACACCTGGGTTTAATTCCAGGCAGGTCAGGGCGAAACCTTGGGCAAGTTTCCTTACTCTACACGCCTAATAATAATCTCTCCAAAACAAAACAATAATAAATTGGTCATTTTGGTCATTGGTCATTCACGACTGTTTGTGGGACACTGCTGTGCACAATTGGCTGCCGCGTTTCGCCCACAAATATACGGTCAATTCACTTTACAGCATACTCTGTGAAGCGCTTTGAGACATCTAGAAGACGTGAAAAGCGCTATATCAATATGCAAGGATTATTATTATTATTATCATGCCGACCGACTCTGGCAACCTACCTATTGTGGAAAGCATGTTAGAAAGACTTGTCCTCATACATTTTCATTGACTATCTACTTGACAGATTTACAAGATAAAGTTGGTAAAATTTGCCTGAATATACAGCTATTCCTCCACGTTCCCTCCAGGTTCTGATTGACTCCTTTTTCTTTTTCTCACACATAGAGGAATACAAAGTTTCAGTCTGGAAGCCACAGATTATTACCAATTTCAGTAGTGTGTAGCTTCCGAGCTAAAGTAACATGCCTGCCAATCTTTCAGTGCGTTGAGTGTTAAACAGAGGCAATAAATTGATTTGACTTCCTTGCTTAATTCAATACTGGTTGAAGCCTGAGGTGGCAGATCTAATTGTGCAGATTGCTGGAATAGCTTCCAACACATGGCACTGAATTTATGTGCATTGGGGCATGTCCTGAACCTGTACCAAGCCTTAACCTGTTTTTCACTTGTCTCACTTCTAATCATATCCCAAACTCCTTTTTGAATTTAGCAGCAAGAAGCGGGGCTGGAGACATAGTCAATGCCAAGTGGACCACTCGTCCATTAAATGGCCAATGATGCGCTAAGTGTTGCAACACATATTCCTCTTTGATGAAGTAATTTGATACAGCGGAACCAGCTTCTAGTTGAATCTCGTGAATGAAGATTAACTAAAGACAAATCTGGGCCACAGTGGCCCTGCCTGGGGTACTGAACATTACTTCTGTACCTCTGAGAGGTCAGTAAACGTTAAGTGGCAAAGAATATAATTATCCAATTAATCAGATAATTTAATGGAAATAGCCCAACTAATGGTTCTTCAATCTAGTAACCCAGGAATCTGCCTATGGTAAAAATCTGTAATGTATCCATTAAAAAGGTTAACAAAGTGACCTTAGAATACGGATAAATTAAATGATCATATTCTGAAACATTTTACCCGTTATTGTTAAGGTAATATTTGGTTGTATTGTATATAAGGAGCTTCACTTGCAATACAAAAACATGCACAAGGCAGTTTTATGGTACTTTAAAAGAGATGTGAATCTTGATTGTATCCTCGAAAGTTTTCAAGGAAGCAAATAATGCACAAAACTGCTGGAAGTTGTGCAGGACATACATTGTGGAAATCATGTTATGTCTGCCTACTGGCATTTTCAAATGCCAAGAATGGCTACACTACATTTTTTATTTTGCCAGCTGTAACTGTTTTGAAAAGTTAGGGCACAAAGATATTCTGTGGCTTGCACAACATGAACATGGAATCAGATTTGTGGTTCTGTTCCCCTCTCCACCCCCACTCCTTCAATTGTGTTGTCAATTATAAAAGTGAATTGTGAACAACAACAACAAGATTCCATTTATAAAGCGCCTTTCACGTCAGGAGGACGTCCCAAGGCGCTGCACAGTTGGGTCATGACCCGAGCAGGGGGAAATGGTCAGGGTGAGGGGAGGGAAGGGAGGGAGCGAGGAGGGGGGAAATGGTCAGGGTGAGGGGAGGGAAAGGAGGGAGCAAGGAGGGGGGAAATGGTCAGGGTGAGGGGAGGGAAGGGAGGGAGCGAGGAGGGGGAAGAGAGTCGAGAGGGGAGCTGAAGGCTCGGTCAAAGAGAAAGGTCTTGAGACCGGCCTTGAAGGAGGAAAGGGAGGAGGCGGCGAAGGCACTGGGGATGGAGTTCCAGAGCCTAGGGGCTGAGAGGCTGAAGGCCCGACCACCGATGGTAGGGCGGTTGGGGCGGGGGATGTGGAGCAGACCGGAGCCAGAGGAACGGAGGGTACGGGCAGGTAGGTAGGGGGATAGTAGGTTGGAGAGGTAGGAGGGAGCAAGGCCGTGAATGGCCGTGAAGTCCCAGAGGGGGCTAGGGTTTTGGGCCTCAGGCTTAGTGGCTGACAGCTAGGGGGAGGGGAGGTTACAGACTTTTAGATTCTGTTTTCTTCATTAAAACCTCAGTCTTGTGCTAACCAGCAGTCAATCTGTGAGGTGGAAATCCATGGCCAGTACTTCCTTTGTTGGGTGGGAGGAATGTTGTTTGGAAAATTGCCAGCCATGTTTTTCTGACCTTCAGAACGCTGTCTGACCCATTCGATATGATCAATATTACACAAACCACAAATTTCACCCAACAGAGTATTACCGAAGGAACATAAATTGAATATTTCCTTACCATTTCAAGACAGCATTATTCCTTTTCCCCACCTCGAAAGAAAATACAGTGCAAGCTAAACCTTGCTGCCTTGTTGGAGTAAACTTCCTTGATTCTTAGGCCAGCGAAGAGGCTATTTATTTGCACTTGCCTTAGAATGATAATCTTGTTCCAGTCTGGAGTCTGACGCTGCTACCTGTTTGTATTTGTTCATTTTCATTTTCATTTGGCGAGTCTTCTCCTCTACATCCATTGAACCTGTGGACAAAGAGCTGAATTAAACAGTAATCTAATTAAACGTAATTAAACTTGGAATCAGCAAACACTTCCCCCCCACCCGCCCCCCTTTACTACAGTGACTCAATGAAGAAGTGTACAAGAAGTGGGACTATGCAACTATACCATGAAGCTTTATTTTCTGGAATTTTTTTTCAAAATAAAAATAATATTAAAAAATTGATGTTTTATACTCTTAAAAGCTAGATTGGCAGCTGTCATAAATAACACCACACAATTATTCTTTTCATTTAAAATTCCTTTAGACTTTTTGATGAAAATCGTTTAAGCTGAACTATTTATACTATGCTAAAACACATTAATTGTTCACTTCTAAGACCAATAAAATGCTATTCCTTTACTACTTTTCTCTAAATCCCAACTTTGAAATCTACATTCTTCTGAAGTAATACATGAAAGTGGAGTTTATTGATCTGCCTCTACATAACCTTTGGTAACAAAGCAGATCAAGGTAGACATTTTACTCAGCAGGCAAACTCTGCAACAGGAATCCAAGCACTCTCCATATTAAACTGCAAATGTTTTATTAGTGCTGTGTTTAAAGACATTGAGGTTAATTTATTGATAAGTCAATACTTAGTATATTAAATATAGCCAGATGTAGTGCAGGTAAATTCCCCCAATAACTACTCAGTGAAAATGCCATGAAGCACTGCACTTCTCTCTCATGGATAGTGGCGTTTGAATACTGATTCACAGGATATTAATTCAATAAAATCTCAGAGAGGCTAGTATCCCACAACCAACAACTGAATACTATGCATCTGGCTTTATAGACGTTGTCACTGAGACTAGTGAGGAGACTGGGGGGGAGGGTTCTGTCTCCACTCCAGCTACATAAATACAACGTTCTGCATATCAAATTTAGCACTAAAGCACTCTGAGATGCTGTCCTGCAGGAAGGGCGCTATATAAATGCAAGTTGTTGTTGTTGTTCACCCCCCTCAACTTGCATTTATATAGTGACCTTCACGCCAGATGGCGTCTCAGAGCACTTAACATCAGAGAAACATATCATTTATTATTTTAGGTTCAGGTCAGGAATCACAGGTACCAGTTGTTCATTTTCGTTATTGTTTCTGAAGAATGTTTGCTTATTTACTGTACTCCATTTTAGGTGTCTGACAAATCAAACTGTGATTTCTTCAAATTTTGGAAAAACATTTTTTGTGCTCTTCAGGGATCAAATTTGTAGCAATCTTAAACACATTCCGTTTCTTATTTAAGGGACATATGTCCTCCCAATTCTAAAAAATGGTAGCACCAAATCTGGCTGATGAAGCTTAGGTGCTACCATATTTGCTTCTTGCTCAGCAGGGAGCTATTTCAAGTACTTGAAAACAGCCACTCCAGGCTTATTCACAGAATACTGGCATAACTCTGATGAAGTGAGTCCAACATCCAAAATGTCAGTGGACAGGGCTTTTCAGATGGGTTCAGGTACTATTATTATTCCGAAGGGAGAAGGAACAAGGGTTTTTAATCCTTCCATTTAATATAACGCCTTGTCATGTCATTGAAACATCTTGGTCTACATTCTTGGCCCATTTTAAGTTGATTTTCAGCTTTTAAAAACCCAGGTTCTAAGCTACCCCAAGTCCACCAATAAGTATTTCTTTACACATAGGGCAATAATTGGTGGAATGGCGTTACCAGGAAGTGTGATAGAGATCAACATCCTGGACTAATTTAAAAACAGTTTGTTGCTGTAAAGGGAGGACAGTATGAGTATTCTGGAAGGATGAGAAGAAATGGATCAAATGGTCTTCTTTGTGATCTTATTTGGATTTACGTACTCTGAAGCCAAGTTAGTCATCTCTTACTTTATTGTTGAGACATCAATGTAACTAAAGCCAATACTTTTCCCTGCAATTATTACTTCTTAAGGGAAATAAGAACAGGTAGTTTCATTATTTTAGCAGCTACAACACTGAAGATAATTAAAATGTTAAAATAACTCTGAGGTTTTAGATGTCTGAGTCTACATTTAGCCCATGAGATCATTTGAACAGCATACTTCTGCTCAGAACTTTTTTCCGAAGTGCTAGTAATAATTGATGCTCAAAAAAACGTTCAGTGCCAAAAGGTACTATCTATCGCAACAAAGAGCAAATTTATTATTTTGCTACAGATTACAATTAATTAGGTCTAATGAAAAATTAACAACTAATATCCTGGGGGAAGAAGTAAGCAGGGCCTCTTTCTGACTGAGATGGCTTATGTGTAGTTGGCTTCAAGGTCTCTCTATGACACTGATGTCTTTCTTAAAGTTGGTTAAGACACAATACTTTAACTGTGGTCTAATTAATAATTTATAGAGGTTAAGCATCCAACTCTATGGTTTCATATCCTAAGCTCGTATTTATATGACCAATAATTCTTTAAAAAAATAATAAATTGGTCACTTCAATCCACGTCTGTTTGTGGGACACTGCATTGCGCAATTGGCTGCCGCGTTTGATGTGATAAGATGTGTCGTGTTATCAAAGATAAGGCACTATATCAAATGCAAGGATTATTATATTATTATTATTACCAAGAATCCCAATAACCTTTTTCACAGATTTGTCCACCTGCCTTCCTACATTTAAAGACATATTTAAAGATATATGTATGTTAAACCCTAGATCTCTGCTACTCTACTCCTTTTAAAATGTTGCCAGTTAGTATATATTTGATCTCCTTAATCTTCCTCTCAAAATGTATCATTTCACAATTGCCCGCAATGAATTTTATTTATCATCTCTGTGCCCAACCTTGCAGGCTGTCCATGTCCACATGAAATAGCTTCCAGTGTTCTTCACTCTCAGTGTCCTCTGCAAACTTAAACATCTTAAACCCTTGTACCAGAATCCAAATCATCTATGTCAATGGAGAAAAGCAATAGTTCTAACATAGACCCCTGACAAACACGACTATTCACATTTCTCTATTCCAAATAACTCCTAGGTAGGTACTCACTATTTCTTTTAACCAATGTTCTCTCCATGCTGCCACATTAATGCCATGCCCTTTTTTTAAATAAGCCTCTTATATGGCACCTTATCAAAAGCCTTCTGAAAATCCCTATGCACCAAATCCACAGCATTACTTTTTGTCAATTCTCTTGGTTGTTTTATCAAACAACTGTTAGACTGGTCACCTGTCTTAGTCTGCAACAAATCCATGCTGATTGTCTTTAATCAACCAATGTCTTTCTCAAATGATTATTAATATATATCCTATCCTATGACCCATATATACCTGTACATGGTCTATACTTGCGTATCACATTGTCCCTTTTGAACAGAGCTACCCTTCAGTGTTTATTATGGCAAGATTTGTGTTTTGTAACGGATTAAACTGCAGCAGTGCTCCCATGCATTCTCACTAACTTGCACCTAAAGAGAAGTGGTGAGGATATGGGTTCACTCCCAAACATATGGTTAGGGGTGAGTTTTAAGCACACATTTTATGGCACAAAATCATTATCGCATCTCATGCCATATTCCCCTGCCCAATATGTTATGAATTTAGTTGCCCAATGGACTAAACTCTATTAAAATTCATCAACCAAAGTAATGTCAATTTAATGTTAAATTATCTTTTTTAATGTTAAAGTAGCTTCCAAATGATCATCATAATGAAGAACGCTGAACTAATTTTGAAACAGCAATTTTAAGGTCTGGTTGGTCATCTAGCCTTAAGTGGATGAAATAACTAAAGTCGATTTAAAATGTGTCCCCAGCTAACTCATACATGACAGTAACTCTCCTCTTAGCTAAAGAACACTGAGGTCATTCACTTGCTCTGTGATGATTTACATTGTGATTGGGTGCACTGAAACAAATTGAATGCCATTCTCACATTGCAGTCTCCAGTACCAACATTTTGTGTGTTTCTAAAGAAAACAATGGCAACTAAATACACCTCTTTAGCAGCATCACCCACCCCTGGAGTGGCCATATGACAAGGTGCTCAAGATGTACAGTGTTTTCTCCAGGAAATACCCTGTACGTCAAAAAAATGAGACTCGAATTCAAGATCCTCATCCTCACCTACAAGGCCATTCACGGCCTTGCTCCCTCCTACCTCTCCGACCTACTATCCCCCTACCTACCCGCCCGTACCCTCCGTTCCTCTGGCTCCGGTCTGCTCCATATCCCCCGCCCCAACCGCCCTACCATCGGTGGCCGGGCCTTCAGCCTCTCAGCCCCGAGGCTCTGGAACTCCATCCCCCAGTGCCTTCGCCGCCTCCTCCCTTTCCTCCTTCAAGGCCGGTCTCAAGACCTTTCTCTTTGACCGTGCCTTCAGCTCCCCTCTCGACTCTCTACCCCCTCCTCACTCCCTCCCTTCCCTCCCCTCACCCTGACCATTTCCCCGCTGCTCGGGTCCTGACCCAACTGTACAGCGCCTTGGGACGTCCTCCCGACGTGAAAAGGTGCTCTATAAATGGAATCTTGTTGTTTTTGTTGTAATTTACATTCTCCTTAAAGCTGCAGTTTTGTGAGTTTGTGTGTTATACAGGGGATTCTCTGGAGACAAAATGCTCTGTGTGTGACAGGACCTGCTCTAAGCGACCACACACTGATGCCACTGTTCGTGCTGCTCTGATGATTTTGGTGTGGATTATATCCTAATTGATTTTATTTACCACCCTTGCTTTATAAACTAAGATTACTCCCCTATTTTATGGATCACAGAGAAACTTTACTAGTTACATCAAAATGAGTTTGAGGCTCTGACAGGAAACAGATGTAATAAGATGTGCCTTGAACTGTTTTTGTGGGACAGAGTAGAGGAATCATTATATTACGTAGTTTAACCAGATTAAAGTTTGATGATAAAATTATAGAAAGTTTACAGCACAGAGAGAGGCCATCAAGCTCATCACAACTACACTTATGCTGCCTCCCCCAATGGAGCTAGCCTGCCACCCAGCTCTTTCCACATTCACTATAATATTCGAGTTGAGTATACAAGTTATCCAAATTTATTTTTAATTGCTCTTATTGACACAGTGATGCAGGCACGATAGGCTGGGGTGGGGGAGAAAATTCTCTGATGTTCGGTAAAGTTGCCAATCTTGGTTGATAAGAGAGAAAATGTCCATGATAAGTTCATAAACCAAAGTCGCCAAATGTATCCACCAGCAGAAAATCTGATCTAGTCATTCACCAAGGTTAATAAGTTTACCAATATCAGAGGATTACCCTTGAAGTTCAAAGGAAGTCAACATGGTAACATTGGGTAGGCGAATAGCCAGTTCATAACCTATTCAAATGCTAAGGCTACCCAGGTGTTTTCCAGCACAGTTCAACAGGAGCCCTTTGAATACTTTACCACTTACTGCAGAACCATTGTCAACATTAATGTGGCATGATTTGGGTGGAATTTTCTGGGCAAATAAATTGTTCAAAAAAAGTGGTAAAAGGGTAAGATCCAAGTCCACCTCGTCAAGTCTCTATCCCCCAGTGCCTTTGCCTTGCCTCCTCCCTTTCCTCCTTCAAGGCCGGTCTCAAGACCTTTCTCTTTGACCGTGCCTTCAGCTCCCCTCTCGACTCTCTACCCCCTCCTCGCTCCCTCCCTTCCCTCCCCTCACCCTGACCATTTCCCCCCTGCTCGGGTCCTGACCCAACTGTACAGCGCCTTGGGACGTCCTCCTGACGTGAAAGGCGCTCTATAAATGGAATCTTGTTGTTGTTGTTGTTGTAGTTACAATAACAAAACGCTAAACCACACCAGCAAATGACCTGTACAAGCATTCATGCGCAAAGAACAACTGCACACAGAATGACAAATCTGTGAACAAGTCAATAATATAGAATGCATTCAATAGCTAGCTTTTGTCTGTACAGTGGAAGTTTCAGCATATGAGAAATTTATTTTACTTAGAAGCAAATTCAGGGGTGGCCTGGTGTATATGCACACTTTCTTATTAATTACTGACAATGGATCTTGGTCATTGGGATATAGAGAAGAAAACGCTGATGTCATAATTATCCCAGTATGATTTATCACAGTGTTAGATTTTCCTTCCTGATGATGTCTGATAGGGACATCCTTGAGGAATATCTCCCCCAGTTTTGTGAGAATTGTACAACCACAGGCACCTCTGGGAGGAAAGTGTTAATCCCAAATTTATATTTGAGAACAAGCAACAAATGTTACAGCTCTAGTATTAGAGTGTCTTCTGCTGAAGTTATAAGACTGGAAAATATTTTTTTGCTACCATGCTTATGCTGTGATTTTTTAAAGAGTATGTTTTGAATCCATTTTATGTTATTCTGATAATTCTCACTGGTGACATTTATCAACCACAACAACAACACAATTGCATTTGTACAGTGCTTTTCACGTCGGGAGGACGCCTCAAGGCGCTGGACAATTAGTTTTTCGGACCCGAGCTGGGGGTCGGGTTCAGGGAGGGTGGAGGGTAGGGGGGATAGAGGGTGATCGAAGGCACGGTTAAAGAGGAGGGTCTTGAGATGGGTCTTGAAGGAGGTAAGGGAGGGGGTGAGGCGGAGGGACTGCGGGATGGAGATCCAGAGGGTGGGGGCAGTGGGTAAAGGCCCACCCGCCAATGGTGGGCGGAAGAGGCGGGGGACGTGAAGCAGGCTGGAGCCCGCTGAGTGGAGGGAGCAGAGATAGGGAGCAGCAAGGCCATGGAGGGCTTTGAAGGTAAGGACCAGTATCATGATCTGTATCCTCTGTGTGATGGGAAGCCAATGGATGGCATTTTCCCCCAAATTGATATCTAACCTAACCTCTTTGTTTCTGACTTTAGCTGCATCAGGGAGAGCTCTCTCTAAGCTGACTTAAAATAGGAAAGCTACATTAAATAACAATTCAGGTTAGAAACCAAATTTGTACCAAGAAATAAAAGGTTACAGGCATCTCAAAACACCAAGAACAGAAACACAGACCTTGCGGTCCAAGTCATCCTTACCTGCATCCCAGATCTCTGGCTCTGGATCGTTTTCCTCTAAAACGTTAATTGGACAAAGGGGAAGAAAAAGAAAATATATGTATGGAATGATGCTGCACATAATAAATAAGAAAACTGGAATTAAAGTAATGAACATAAGCATGGAAGGGTCTACAGTAACAAATGTTACAGCTCTAGTACTAGAGTGTCTTCTGCTGAAGTTATAAGACTGGAAAATAATTTTCCCCTATCATGCTTATGCTGTGATTTTTAAAAAAAAATCTAAATGTATGTAAAGTTAGAGGCAAAATGGCAACATTTAGCCTAAAATACCTAAAAAAGTTGCAAGATGAAAGGGAAAAAAAACTAAAAGGACACATTGGGGAATACAAGAGGAGATTTCATTAGATGATCATAGTAGACAATAGAAAATAGGGAATATAAGGGACACACCTGAGTTCCTCCTTTTGGGTGATTCCAGCTCTTCTGTGATCACAAAATGGCAAGACATAGACAAAGAAGATGAGCGTGAGAAGAAGATTTCAAGAGATGGTATGGGCAGTAATGGAAATGGACTGTACAAGGTTACAGCTGAGATTCTATCAGTCAACATTTATGGAAACAGTTGCCAACACATACACAAACACAATAAGAAATGGAGCTGCAAGGTTAAAGTTGGCTCCAGTCACAATTAAACAAAAGGAAGCAGAGTTAGTAAGAATCCCTTGTATTGTTAGGTTATGCCTTCTGAGCTGTATGATGAGTCAAAGATAAGTGCTGTAGGAACCTTGATAAAGCTAATACCTGCTGATAATGCTTCAAATTCTACAGTTTTCTTCCAAGACTTGATCTGCATTGAAAAATGATATGTCAATGTTTTATGTTTCAAATACAAGTGAAAATTCCATGGAATTCAGGCTTGAGTTAAGCTTTTTAATAAAGAAGAAGTGGGTCTTCAAAACATAGCATATATTAGACTTGGCCTGTGATGTGTAATGGACAATCCTCTGCACCTCAGGTTTGTCAAGGGTTCGCAGAAAGATAGTCAAGATATACTTGGACCCTGATTTTGGATTCAAAATGTTGACCTAAAAGGCCATAATCAGCAGGGGAACAACGTGCAAACTCTTATTTGGGCACTGTCTCATGCCCATCACTCAACCCGAGAAAATGCTCAGCTCCATGGTTACTGCACAATTTGCTTGGCATGCTTCACTGGAGTGTCAGCTTTTCAAGCAAGACATCAATGATGGTTATTGTTAAAATGGAAATCAATGAATAAATGAAAAGGTGTCATTATCAGATAATGCCTAGGAGCAAAAGTTTCATTAGTACATTTGTTGGCTTTGATTTTTTTTAAGCACTCCAGCATCTTGACACTCAGTGCACTATGCCACTCTATACCACATAGCTCACAGCAGGCCCTTTCTCTTTCATAATTTGCTTTTAAGTCTTCAAAAGAACATTAACAATTGCAAATTTAACCTGAATATTTGCTTACTATACCGAGTGCTGTAGTCTAGTGGCATTAATCAGGCTTTTTTTTAAAAAAGGAAAGGAGAGCGATTCTAAAGAAATGCACCAAAAAATAGGAGCTTAAATCTGGAATGACTCAACATAGTGTGAAATATTTAAAATCAGCACAGGTTTCCACACTTGAAGCGCTTGCGATACAATCCATAACAGCACCGCAGCTATACATAAGCCATCATGAACCAAATACCCTCTCGCCCATTCCTCCCCCATACTTGATGTATATTGTTCTTGCTTCAGATAATATGGACTTCAAAATATTCTTGGTGGCTTGCTGAAGAAGGCCCATACTCAAGCCCCAGTTCGCCAGCATGAATGCACAGGGATTGTCCGTAACCATGCGTGAAACATAAAGCATTATTGATTCTCTTCCTCCCTTCCTTCATTAATCATGAACCCATTATCATATCCCTAAAACAATGGCATAGTTCAGCAAGACATTTATTGAGAGCTCAAGCTTACTTGCCAAAATACACCCATCCCGCTCAGAAATGTATTGGTTTTAAGACATCTTCATGTTCGTGCATGGTATTTATGTCGAACGCTTAGCAGAGCAATAGTTCATTTTTGGGAAACATTTATTAAACTGTAGTACTTCCTATTACTGCATTGGTGTTTATTCACATATCTATGAATATGCTTTATACAACTATAACACAGTATCGCCAAGACTTTTTTTTAATTACACAAAGCAAATTGAATGCCTTTTGGAACTGAATGCAATGATCATTCAAATATTCCATAATTTACTTGCATACAGTAAATGATAGGGTTTAATTATAGAGTGAAGTTCTGTTGCTCTGATATAGCTAAGTAGTGAAACTGAACCTGTTACACTAGACCCTCAGTTATCTGATTCAGAGTTTCAGACGCCTTACTTTACCAGATACCATGTGGAATATAAGCTGTAGGCTAACCTATAATACTCACTGTATTTTAGTGTCAGTTATTGAATGAATATACATTAGACTGTAAGTTCAAACACTTGTTGTAGCTGAAAGTTTTTTTCCCTACTGAAATGTTTCCTTTTAGATTATTTTTCAGCATACTTGTGTCATGTATACTGACAGCTCAAAGTTACAGCCGTTTCAAATGTGCAGACATCCTTCTCGTCTCAAGGTGTCCAGATAATTGAGTTTATATTGTCTTTCAAACCACATCAGCAAAAAGAGCTCCTTTTGATGAACAAGATTTGATTGATTGCATTGACCATAATAATAATAATAATAATAATCCTTGCATTTGATATAGCGCTTTTCACGTCGGGAGGACGTCCCAAAGCGCTTCACAGAACACACTGTAAAGTGAATTGACTGTATATTTGTGGGCGAACGCGGCAGCCAATTGCGCACAGCAATGTCCCACAAACAGTCGTAGATTGGAAATGACCAATTTTAATTATTGTTTTTGGTTTTTTTTTTTTGGAGGGATTATTATTAGGCGTGTGGAGTAAGGAAACTTGCCCAAGGTTTCGCCCTGCCTGGAATTGAACTCAGGTCTCTCACTTGCAAAGCGAGTGCTCTAACCACTGAGCTACAGGACTCCACGACCATGGCACTCGTCAACAACAACAACGGAGAGATAATTTTACCATGCTAAAAGAAGCAACCACATAGTGCTGACAATACATAGACCTGCATATTGAGTCAATGTGGTCATACGGCACAGAGTATAGGAACATTATCAGAGGAAAAGAACTTCTCTCAAAGATCTCATTTGGTCTCATAAAGCAAAGTTTTCAGCAGATGCCGCTCCAGTTCTCAACTTTTGTGCATTCTTTATTTTTCACACAGGGGTACAGTTTAACTCTTTATTGGAATCGTCTTTCAAATAATAATGGAATTTTGCTAAATAAATGGTTGCAAAAATCCTCGCTTTATAACCATGTAAAAACATTTTGCATGATGAGCAGACTTATTGCCTCTCAGGCTTAATATTCATAATATTTCAGCAATTCACCCCTGCCCCAACGCCATGCATCTCTGCCGCTGTATTTGCATACTTACAAAACTATGGGAAATTGAGAATTTACACTCTAAAAAGAACTGGTTTATGGAGCCATATGATGGAGTGCATTAATCTGACTACACTATGATCTAAATAGATGATACACAATATGGAGCAATACGGATACACAACATATCTCTCTCTCAAAAACACACATACACATTTACTCACTAAAAGAAAAAGCATGAACCCTAAGATCCACTGCTATCTCTACAGAGAATTTCATGCTTTCTGTGGTTTTCAAACCCTGACAAACCTGGCTCAGAAAGCTGCCTCTGTTTTGACCTGCCATCAGCAACTGTATCATTCATTTTTCTCTGCTGGTCTTCCCAGGTAACTTCTAATGCAAATCAAAGGGAAACAGCAAAGAATAATATTTCTAAGGCTAAAACAGCAAAGAGTTGGGTAAATGAAATGTTTAAAAAATAAATAAAAAGTAAGCATTTGTGAACATATATGTAAAAAGGCAAAATTATTTACATTTGTCACTAACAAAAAAACAAGCACCTGAGGAAAGAGGGAATTCTGTATAGCAATCACTCCATTCACATCAGAAAAATAATGTACAGATAGTGCAGTTCTATAAAACTTCAATAATAATAATCCTTGCATTTAATATAGCGCCTTATCACATCTTCAAGACGTCTCAAAGCACTTCACAGAATATACTGTTAAGTGAATTGACTGTACATTTTGTGGGTGAAATGATTGTAAACAAAGGTAGACCTCTTCTTCGAATGTTGCAATCATCTATTGTAGCTGTCCTTAAAATAAAGTGGGCTAGATTTTCATTTAGTCATCTCCTGTTTATGGATCAGGAATAACGCTGCCAGGAACAAACAGGCAATAGTTCCTCCTCTCTGGCAACACACAATGTTGCAGTGCATTAGGTACCGAGCAATAAGTGATCCATCATGTAAAACGTATAAGCAAGCTGGTTTTGTTCTATTTTGGATTCTTTCTTTTGCCCAAAATAATAATAATCCTTGAGGTTGATATAGTGCCTTATCATGTCTTCGAGACATCTCAAAGCACTTCACAGAATATACTGTAAAGTGAATTGACTGTATATTTTGTGGATGAAACGCGGCAGCCAATTGCACACAGCAATGTCCCACAAGCAGTCGTGGATTGAGTGATCAATTTATTATTTTTTGAAGGAATTATTACCCCTGGAAAAGCAATCCACCAATCAACTAACAACCGGGTTCCTACTTACTGCTGGGTAAAACAGGGGTGTGGAGTAAGGAAACTTGCCGTGGAAATGTTTCACCCTGCCGGGAATCGAACCCAGGTCTCTCACTTACCAGGCGAGTGCTCTAACCACTGAGCTACAGGACTCCACAATAAAATGTAATTAGAATTCTGTCCTCCGATGGCAACTCGAGCCATTGCAATGATAATAATCTTTGCCTTTCACATCAGGAGAATGTCCAAAAGCAGTTCAGAGGATTTTACTGTGCTGCGGAATGACTGTGTATTTGTGGGTAAATAAGTTCCCAACTGGAGAAATTCTGGATTTTATTTGGTCAGCTAACTGTCTGACACCTGAGAAAACACATCACTATGTTTAAGAGTCTGGTTTGAATATTCTAAGGCATGGTGATGGGTTTCTGCATATGTCAGATACCAGGTTGGCCAAAACAAACCCATTACTCATGTAACAAGTTCCCAACCAAAATTTTTTTTGTGGGGTTGTCAAGCATAAGGTAAATTGAGACTCTTTTCCCAAGCCTGCTCATCATGTCCCTACTGACTGTGCCACAGGGGACAAATCACAGAATCTCAATTTTACAGTCAGTGAAAGCCAGTAAAGTAGATTTATATTCACAAAATAAAAGCCCAGGGGATTATCAAAATCTACTTTTTCTTTCAAAACCGGAAGACAAATTTGAGGGTTGCGAGAGGTTAACACAACAAGCTAAATTATGTGTAAATTCCATAAT